GGTATCTAATAAATATAAGACGAATTCCCCTAAAGGGATGAACTTTACTGCGGTTCACCAGATTTTTAACCTAACTTGAATTTATTGTAGAAATAGACTGAATAGATCCATCTCTATTAATCGGGCCATTTAAGAAGTACACTGCTGCTAAAAGGGATTTTGTATTCAGGGTTTTGTATTTAGGTGTCCTAATTAGAGCCAAAACAATTAATTAGATAATTCTTGATTAATCAAATATTGAATTTTGGCTAGTTTAATTGTAACTGGATTTTAAAAATCCAAAACCTCTCATTTGCTAAAAGAATGTCCCCCTCATAGCAGTAATTAAGCCATCTACTTGTATAAAAAAATTAATTCTGTTTTATGAAATCGAAACACTTCTATTGATGTTTGTTAATTAACTAAAAGTATTTTATTTTTCAATAGAATGGAAAAAAATAAATGAGACCTGCAGCCCCAGTCCTGATGAAATGTAGTAGCCAATGTCTTAATTGCTACTGAACAGTAGCTTCTTACATCATTTTGCTTCTACTGATGCCATTATAAAGTCCCTACCTGATGGAGACAATAGAAAACTTTCTCACTGAATGTTGTTAATTTCCTCTTCACCCTGTTATGGTTAGGAATAGGTAACCCGCTGTTTGGGGGTAAAGTCCTAATTCTTTATTTACTGACCATCTGGTCACTGATTGGGCCAAAAACTGATCCATCATAGTTGGTCCTACTCTTCATTACTTTTAAAGCAAACTCTTCATTTGGGGTCTTATAGTTTGTACTATTATGTGATATAATTTTTGTATTATACTTTGTCTATTTGTCAGAAATAAAAACTGTGTTTATTGTTTAGTTTTCCTTTAATCAACAGAAAATCCAGTTAAATAGAAAAGAAACACCTCTGTTTGTCCTCCATCACACTCGCTTCTACAAATAGACCAACAATCTCTCCTTCCTCTCCACACTGAATGAATTTTATAGAATGGTTTGGTTTGTTGCACAGATGGTTTAGTTGTTTAAAAAAAAAGAGCTTTTTATGGCTATAGAGACCTGTTCATCACCCTCCCCCTGCGTTCTTGTCGTCCTCTGTTCCGCTCATACACCATCATTAAAAGCCCTCTTGTTTCTACCCTTTCTCTTTTCTCATCATCTTTTTTTTTCTTTTGTCCAACTCACTGAAACAGATGAACAAGCTCGCATCTCACCGTTCTATTCACACGCAGCTGTAATTGGGTACATAGGAGGAGAAGACCTCGGGTCTCTAAGGCCACCTGTCCATCTGTTAATTGGCTTTGGTGATGCAATCAATCACTTTTATGCCTCTTTTTTTAGGAGTACCGTATTAATGGAAAGCTGTTATCAGATCAGTTTTGTTGCTTATTTTGGCATTGATTTATCAAATCAATGTCTATAAAACAGGGCGGTTTTGTTTTTTTTTTTTTTTGGTTAAGGGTTAATTTTAGTTGGGGGGGTTGGGGTAGAATTTTATCTGCAAGTTCATGATTATTGACCCTCCACTGTAGTTGGCGCTCTATTGTCATGAGTGCCTCTAGTGAGGTGGAAATATTGTTTTTATTTAAAGTAAATTAATATGATTGTAATAATCATGTATTATAGTTGTTTATTGGCTTAATATTGGAATCAGAAAATTTCTTTGCAGGCGATTTTCTAATCTCAGTCTAGTGTATGTCAAGAAGATACTGCACTGATGGTATATCTGAGGTGTTGTAGACATTTATAAATGTGTTGCAAGCTGCTGTGTTGTTTAATTGAGGCCCAGTTATTATTTATTTTATCACAATTCCTCTACATGGAACAGCCATTTCTAAATTTTAAATCAGTTTGCACAGTTGTAAGTAGATTCAGAGAAAAGACTGGAAGTTTGGAGGGATTTCTCCTCAAATGCCAGAGAACGAGTCATAAGTGCTTTGTCATTGTTTTGCATGCTCTGCCAGAAAGAACCCCATTAAAGATAAATAAATCTAAGAAACTGGGAAAACGGGTAAGTAGAACATAATGCCATCCTAAAAAGCCAAACCATCCTGAGTTGTTACTTATGACCGGAATCCTTGGTTTTCCACTGGTTATTTTGTCCTTCTGTGGTACGAAACAACTTAAAACGCTGCACTGGAATAGACCGAAGCAGAACTGTGTGAACACCTGGTGACCCGCGGCCGTTAAAATATACCTGCTTTACCTTCCTGCCCCTCTAACAGCCGGTTGGACTCGTATGACATGATGTGCTCTAGGGATGGGTATCGATAAAGAATCCTAGAGTTTATTCAGATTAATAAAATTTTTAGAAAAAAAAAGTCATTAAATTAAATTGTTAATAGTGGCCATAAAGTTGTAGGAAAACAATATTTAAATTTCAAATCATTCTGGCTTAAACAAGTATATAAATCTACTCTTCATCAGAAGATATTCCCCTAAAATTTAGAAAATTTCCTGTCTTAAAATCTGTTTTTTTCCCGTTATCTTATGCAGGCCAGTTAGTTATACATCAGCTTGTATACCTAAATGTTCGCGATCATAGCATCTTGATTTATATGTCGCAGCTAATATATGCAACAGTTGAAATAAGAATGATTTACTTTACCATTGAGTTACGTCCCAGTGTTCACGGGGATGGAGTCTGTGTCTTCGGCAGGCGTAGAGGTAACAGTACGGGCAGCGTTGCGACGCAAGGGCTCAAACATGTACGGCTGTAAGCCTTCTACACCAAACCAAGCTTCTGCTGCCCTGGCGTCCTCTTCCACAACATCTTTGTCCCCGCTTTCCTCCTCTAAATAAAAAATGTATGGCGGAGGAGACTCATCCACGACCTCCGACACAAAACTCTCCTCCTCTAGCATGTTTCCACTGTCCATACCGTTCCTTCACAGTGTCATTGCTAAGTCACCAATTTAGTTTTTCTTGGTGCCAATTTAATTTCCCATTGTAATAACTTGCTAACCTGTTAGCAAGAGGCTTCCGACAAACCAGCCACAGCCAAACTTGCTTGCGAATTTTCCACCCCAACAATCCCACCCCCTTAATAATCGACCAGTCACATTCAGTTTATTTCACTCGTGTAAAGTCATGCACCACTTGGGAGAATTCGGAACTGCAACGGTTTGAACAGCAGTTTCCCTACAACTTTAAGGATTAAACTATCTTACTACTTTTACAGAGTTGTACACATTTGGTATGACTTCAGAGAGACGTTTGCGAGACAGCATGATGCAGTTAGGCTACTTTCATTATTTGATAAAGACCCAACCGCTTCTCTTCGTCTTTGGGAACCCGCTGTATTGGCATGTCTTGTATGCCGAGTAGAGCTCATCTTTATCCACATCCTCATTAGTTCCAAGTTACTGCCAGATAAGGGTTTTGGATGTGCAAGGCGTTTTTAGGGCCAGGGCTTGTAAGGTGTTCATGTTATTCTCCTTGTTTGTTGGTAAACGGCTAGTAGGTGCAACCTGCTAGAGTTGAGCCACAAGTGCCGGCTCACACATTAAAGCTCATAGTGGAAAAATATTCTTTCAAAGAATCCATCTTTGGTTATATGAATCAATCGTTAGGGCGTAATATAAAGATCGATTCTGAATAGGAATATTTTATTTATTTTTTGTTAAACACAGCCTTGATTTGCAAATGATAGTGATCAATGAAACGAAATCGGTCTGCCTTTATTGATGGACCAAAACTTTTAAAAGTGAATAAAATTGAGCAATGTGCTTAATATCTTTTTGTTGTTGTTATGAACATTTTAGTATCCTGACGTTGAGGCCAAAGCTGAGCTGTCCTGGGGTAAAGCTTTAAAGTCAACTTCAGAAGACTTTGCATGTAGAAACTTAGATTAATGTGTGTGGGGGGGTAAATGATGAGTTTAAGAGCTGCTCAGGGGGCATTGAAAGGTGGAGGCTGAGCTAGAAGAAGGAATTAAATCACAAATGATGCGGTAGATTAATGAGGATTGTTCTTTGAGATGTGTTGCAGCAGGTTAATCATCTCCCCTGAGATGCTGTTTCACTGAGAGACGTGAGTTTTAGAGGCGAAATCAAGCTGCTGTTTTCACACTTGTTTTACCAGCACATTAGCGTTGGGTTGTTTGGGGCGTTAGATTAGAGATTTCTTTTCTTTTCTGTTGTTTCTATGCATTAGTACTTAGAGTAACATTCATTGTGTTGGAAAGAGTCTTGACCAGAGCTTTCATATGTTATAGTTTTTGTAATTCAATAGATTTGTTGATATTAACTGACTGTGAAGCACAAGCAGAAGGTGGATCAGTTCAGATTAAATTTGTATTTTATTCTTTTTTCATTGAGTCCACATTAACAGAGTAGATTTTGTCTTGTTTAATGTCAAATGCATGAGGTTAGTGGTGTTAACCACAGAATATTCAGCCCCTCCCCCCAGTACATAGCATATGACAACCACATTTACAAGCATACTTGAGTTAAAATGTCCACATCAGCTCAAATCTAACACACACACATCACCTTTGCTGTCCCCTCGCTCTGTGTTTCCCTCTGCACTCATGGTTCTGCCTTACGCCCAGTTCCGCTCTCGGCCTTTGGTGTTCTGTACTTTGTGTTGTTGCTTGCCGTCACCTGCCTGTTCTCCCGGTTTGTTGTTTTCCTCATAGGCTGAATCAGTGTTTGTTTTGCCGCTTATGTGATTCTTGTTAAACGCAGCACTTTTTTATGTGTGTGCACTCATACATACCCATGGGTCGCTATCACTCTTGATACACATCCTGAAGGTTTTCCAGCCGCCATCAGAAGAGGAACACTGCAGCAAAGTGGTTTTTAAATCAATTATCGTTGGAAAAAGACTCAGTTGCTTTAAACTCTCACTCAAAGATGCACTCAGCCTCGCCGCTGCTTTCACTAACCATTTACCGTTGCACCGGTGCTTGCTTTTCTCTCCTTTATTTTGTTTTCCTTTGCTGTTTTATTATTTATTTCACAATATTTTCTTGTGTTCATTGTAATCATGACCTCTCGCTGTTTTAATTTCAGATTTGCATATCCACTTCCACTCCTTCCTCATTTGCATACAGCAAGAATGGCGAGCGGGCATCCCACAGACAAATTCAGTTTCATGTATCAACCAGACACGCACAAGAGGTACGGGGCACACGTGCACACACAATCACATACATTCACACACACTACACTTTTAGAAAGCCCGTAGTCATTAACAGCAGGTAAGTTGAGCACATCGTAGCTGTGCATGAGGCAGAGCTTTTCCTCTTTTCTTTTATTTATTTTTTTTGCAGGGAATGCAGCATTAATACCGCTTTTACCCTGACCGCATTCTAGCGACTGAATACATCACTAGGTCACTCCTCTCTGTATTCTGCTTGTGAAGTCTGGTTGTCTGTCCGGACATGCGTTGTTGGGACTGTTAGGATTTTTTTTTTCCTGCCTAAACTCGGCGGGTTGCATTCAAGAAGATCCCATCTCCTAATGAATCCACACCTTCTTGTGCTTTCCAGCCAGTACTTGTGCTCCATGTCTTTATAATAGTTGGAGTATATACTTGCGTTAAGCCTTCCTAAGGGTGATGATTCTCAGGGTTTGATGGCTTTTAAATGTTTTCTAAATTCCTTGGATGAATTTAATTTTAACTGTATGTTGTTGTTTCTTTTTTTTCCTAATTGACATTGATTACAAGTTATTTCTACTTTTTTTTTTTTGGTCAACCCTTATCCCTCTGTCTCCTCTCCCTTTGTTTGTTCCCAGTAAAAGCAGGTTATCTTCAGCCATGAATCCCGTCTACAGTCCCGTTCAGCCTGGAACTCCTTATGGAAACCCCAAGAACATGGCCTTCACAGGTGAGACGGCATCCTTTTATGTTTGGGTTCGTAGGCTGTCCTGGAATTGAATGGAGTAATATTAAACATATTTGACCAATCTATTTGAAGAATTCTCCATTTTCTTTCATTCATCCCCCAAACTACATTTCTCTTTTCTTTTTTTAATGTTATTATAAAAAATATATCCAAATTTGCTCTGTCCTTCCACTACTGTCTGTTTTTCATCCTTTGTCTTTTCATCAGTCATCATCCATACTTGAATCACTCACTCATCTATCCGTCCATTTATCAGTCTGTCCCTCCACACAGTCATCCTTCTGTCTGACCACAGGGTTGTCTGTCAGTTCATTCATCTGTTTCTCCATTGGTCTGTACGTCTGTTATTTCTTTATTTCTTTCCTCTGCCCACCCTCTTTTTCTCTGCTGGTGACATTTCAGAATTTTTTTGATTTCATATTGGTCGAGACAGGATTAATAAATCTGGGAGAATCTGGTCCTTCGACATAGAAAAACATTGAGGAAACCGTGTCTAGGTCAGCTAATATTAGGGCTACAGCTGATGATAGTGGCGGTTTTATCACACCTGATTTACCCCTTAGTGAAATTTTCACCCTGCTTTTACAGATTTATACACTTATTATTGGGTTATTGGGTTCTTATTCTTGACTTATTAGCAATACCTTAAAAGTCTAGTTTGATTTTTTAAAGTTATTATCTTTTCTATTATAAAATCAAAGCTGAGCTGTAAATAGATTCAGTGATCCTGCCATGTCCGCAATGTTTATGTTTTCAAACAGGATAAAACCGGAATCATCACAAACTGTTTTGAATAGTCGTTTTTTTTAATAAGTTATGATTTTAGATATTTTAATAAGAATTAAAGATTGGTGAAGCTTATAGAGCGTAGGTAGGACAGATAAAAATTAAAGGTTTCGTATTGACCTTTAGATGATGAATCCTTGAAATCTCTGATTAAAGGTGAACCCTTCAGCTCTACCTGCTGAAGCAGTTTCATATAAAATGAATCTGTTTTATTAAATATTATACCACTTTAGTTGGATCACCAATCCCTCCCTCCTCAAATAGCTGCAGAGGTCATGGTGTGAGGAGGACAATCTAAATACCGTAATTTTCGGACTATAAGCCGCGACTTTTCCCCCATTTTTCAACCTTACGGCATATATAACAATGGGGCTTATCTATGGACTTTTACAGCTAACGGCCACTAGGGTAATACCTAAATCTATGGATTTTACCATCCACCATGTTGACGTCACATTTGCTTCAACACATAAGTATGGTAGCCGCGCACGCGGGAATGCGGAGGTCCTCCGGAAGCAGACTTCTACCGCGAGTGGTACGAGACAGAACCACAGCGAGAAAGACAGACATTGCAAGTGCAAGACAGTTTGTGTTAGACATAAAAAACCTGCGACTTATAGTCCGGTGCGGCTTGTTTATGTACAAATCATGAAATTTAGCTTCTGCGGCTTATATTCAGGTGCGGCTAATAGTCCAAAAATCACGGTAGCAGCTTCCTATCCTTGATGTGTCCTCTTTTATGAAAGCCAAATTAAATCAGCAGTTTAGACTTTTAAAAAGCTTTAATCCCCCTGTGTAATTTGGAAAAGGTGAAATGGTCGAATTTAAAGGCCAGAATTACATTTTCACTTTTCAGTAGTTCTCTAAATCCTTAATCTTAGTCTTATAGATTCAAATACTCCTCCCTGCTGTATACAACCTTCACTCAGACCATTCAGGCAGAAAATTGAATACAATAGAACAAGATATAAAGCAGACCATTTTTCATCACCTAAGCCTTGCTTGGCATTGTTGCATATATTAAACCATCTCTTTGAACTACTTAATGTGTCAAGTTGTCATCAAACCTGTAAGGAAAGAAATTCTGAGGTTTTGAAGAACATTTAATTCTGTCTATTACGGTGGTTGCTAACATCATCCCTAGTATTGGTCTTTTGGTCATAAACTGCTTGAATGTCCCACTTCTGTTTTTCTATTTATCTTATATTAAAGTTTTTTTTTTTTTTTTCTATAATTCACAAAAAAAACTTTACATTCAAATTTATTCAGTGATCCACTACCCTCAATGTTATTGGGCTTCCTTTAAGTGTTTTATAGCTTGAGTTAGGAAGAAAGGTTAGGATTATTTTGATCACTGTGATATAACTGGTTCCATTGCAGTCATTTAAGTGGATATTAAGACATCGGATCCCTCCCTTTTTAATACATTTATGGTTTATAAACAAAATTGCTGCATTGATAAACCAACTTCTGCTACAGCTAGTTCTTCACTGGTATCTTAAAGGCATCAATTACTAGTTGAACAAGTTGGCCTAAATATATTTTAATTTTCCTATTCGATTGCAGTTTGTTATATGTAAAAATGTATTACCTAAAATAGACATCCATGGTGATATTTCAGCGGTCGCCATTTTTCAGCTGTGCAAAGCATGCTGGGTTGATGATGTAGTTAGGTCTTACTGGATGGGAACCTTCAAAGTAAACAATTGAAGTCTAACACTACCAGGGTTGGTTTTAATCCAGTTGCGTTTGACTGGTGTAAATTTAAACAATGCCACAGATATCGGTTAAAACAAATGAGGTCGGCCTGTGATCTTCATTTTACTGTTAGATAGAGCTAGCACCGTTAGCAGAGGCTTTCTTAAAATCAAAATCAAATAGGAAGATAAAGAAAGAAAATTTGTCTAAAGTGACAGTGAATCCCCTTTAAGCTGTTATACCCCATCACTAACAGATCTGAGAAAATGTTTTCACCCTAATACTAACCAGTTTCAGCTAGAAACCATAGCTCTTTGTGGCATAGCTCTACATGTGGGTTAGCATCTTCAAACAGAGGCTCATTCAGCCATGTCTCCCCTCTTCCTCCGTTTGGTCCTCCATTGGTGATTTTTTTTTTTTTTTAGGATTTGGAAATATTTCCAGCTGTTTACAGTGGTTGTCGGTCTCAGCTCTTTGCACTGCAGGGATTTACATAGAGATTTGTGACAGGCAATATCGAAATAAACGGCTGAAAACTATTCAAAGCATTGAGCTCATGCTGTTTTGGGGCCAGTATGTTGTCCTCATGAACCCAGCTCTTAAGTTGAAGGAAAGCCAATCTTTTTTTTTGGTCCAGCGAAAAGTTGCAGCAGAGTAGGGATCCATTGCTGCCATTGGCTGGCAGCAGGGGAAACGGCATTGCTGCTAACTAAGCTGTAGAACCAGTATGGCACTGGAATGGGTAAGTTGGGCAGAGGAAAACTCACGTCTTTGATGGTCACACAAAAGACGATGTTCACAATGGAATTGAAGCACACACCTGCACTCAAATGCTAGCAGATAAAAGAAAAAAGAAACATTTTATGCCCCTACTCCACCCTTTTTATGTACATAAACAAAATCCATACAGTTCACTTCTGCACTAGCAGCTTTAATATACACAATAGAGACTGGAGTGGAGTCATGAATGAATCTGATGGTAGTTGTATACATCATAAGAACAATCCAATACAAACAATTATTGATAGTGATGTTGGTCCTTTATCAGAAATGCCTTCAAACCTGATTTCTTTAAAAAAATTCCCACATTTTTATGGTTCAGTGCATTTTATAAGGCAAATGAATCCAATTTGATCTATAGTCAAATCAGTCATTCATTTTAATACTATCCTGCCATTCCAGTCCAGTTAGGTGCAGCCTAAGTTTAATTCAAATAAAATTCAGTCCAATTCAGTCTCCAATTAAATGGCTTTTGAAGTAAGAAATGCCATTTTAAAAAGTATTTCAGTTTCTGTTGTTGCTAAGAGCAACGCAAAGGATGATCTGTGTATTTTTAAGCATGCCTGTTTGTTTCCTGCGTGTTTATTGGCACCTTTCTATAACTCTGTATTTTATCCCAGAAAGCTCTTTCCCAGGTCAGAGCCTCGTCGTTTTGCCTGACTTGTGATTTATGACGCACCGGGGTGTGTGTCTACCCCCTCGCGTGCGTCTTTCTGCTTTGCTAATGTCTCTGAATTTATCTCCTCCCACAGCATATTGGCGGGTGTGCCCCGTCTGCCTAATCGGTGGATGTTAGACACGTTCAGCCGACTGTGTTATTGCTGCAGACATTTTTTTTTTTTTTTTTTGCTTTTGCCATCTGTGCACATCCTGTTTTAGTCTTGTACGCTTACAGTATTTGTGTGTTGGGTGTTCCCTGTGCTTGTTAAGCTGAAGTTTTTAACATTTTCCTTCCCACCTGTGATCTTCCTCTTCCAGCTTATCCAGGAGCTTATCCAGCCACAGCTCCCACCTACACTCCCAACCTCTATCAAACAGGCAGTCCTGGGTATCCACCAGGTGAGCGCCTGCTTTCAGACTTTGTTTTTTCTGTCATCATCGATGTTTTCTATAACATATCTGACAAACTTGTCTGGTTTTTAAAAATGGAACTTCAGAAGAGCTTTATTTAGAAGTCTCTATTTTTATTTATTAGTATGTATTATTTGTATTGAAAGCTTCCTCTATCGCATGTGTCAGGGTTACTGCAGAGCCTTAAAAAGTTAATTTCAAGATCGTAGTTTTAAGCCTTAAGTCTTATAGTTAGATTTTCGAGCTAAGTTCTTAAATGATGTCTGGTTACATCTTCTAACTACTTGCCTCTTCAGTTGACTTAATGTTTTTTCTTTTCTTTTTTACGTTGCGTTTCAATTGTGTAGGCAAATTAAGCACATTCTCATACATTAGCTGCTTGTGGTTTATGTTGATAACACAGGTTTGAATGTTTTGCAATTTAAGAAAAACAACGTATAAAGAACTCAGAAGATTTCAATGGATATATTAAAAGCTAGAGCTGGACAATAACACACATTATCCAGATATTGATCAGTACAGCTGGAAAAAAATGCACCATTATTCACGATGTATTCCCAGTTTAATTAACTAAGAGCTCAGAACTCAGAGCTGGGAGTAAAACTGTTTACGGTTTCAGCTGCCACATTATTTTCTACCTTAATTTGTATTTAGATTATGAATTTAATCCTTTCTTAAAACTACAGTGCATCTAAAAGAAGACATTATTGAGTTAAATTATTTCAGTAATTGAATTTAAGCAGGGTAACTAACATTTAATGTGGATTTATTACGCATTTCTATTCAAGCTCAGGCACAGTTAACATCTTACCAGTCTTCCCCTTCATGGGATATTCTGAGCTTCCACAATGCAGTGGTTACATCTCCTGCTTTTGAATGTTTTCCCACTTTTTTTGTTTTTCTTGGATTATATTTCTGAAATTAATCACACATTTAAAATAATACAACCCTTGAAAGGAGCATTTATTTATTCTTTTGGATAGAAATAATTAAAACAAATAGTAATGTAAAGTAGTATGTGTATATTTGTAGATGGAATATGGTCACACAAAATCTCTGTGTTGTTCTCCAGACTGTTGTTTACAGGCTGGGCCTGCCAAACATACAGGTACATCCACCCATATAAACAGCTGTCAGTCAGAGCTCCGCTCCTCCTTTGTCTATAAAATCCCTGCACAGCACCGTAGAGTAGAAGGAAAATGGTTCAGAGAGTCCAGAGGATTGAAACACTCATTTACCAGAAAGTTCTCTTGCTAACAGAATCATAAAGCAATGCTTGTTACACATCTTATTTTTGTCTAGCGACTGTGCTCAATAGCCCCGCCTAGTGGTGGCATTTATTTTAATGCCCCTTTAATGTTCTAAACACCCCATTTCTAGAAGGATGCCCTAACCCTGTCCTCCTGATCTACCATCCGGCAGCTTTTAGGTGTCTTCTCCATCACAGCTGAATGAAATGAGTTGCTGATTAACAAGCCTCAGCTGAGCAGAGGGGCATGCTGGGAGAATTCAGAAGTTAAATTCAGAGTTATTGGGACAGAGATGGAATTAAAAGTTGCAGGATGGTAGCTCTTAGGGGTGTAAATCACATCCATCATGGCGATTTGATTCAGTATCGATTTCCTGACCCAACGATTCGATTATTTTCGATACTCAAGAATACACCACGATTCGATTAATCGATTAATCAGTAAAAAAAAAAATTTCTTCTTTTTTTTTTTTTGTACACCTTACAGGCTAAACAAAGTTTCAAGTTTGAAATAAATCAATGAAAGCTGTAACATCGTTCTGCATTTTCTTTTTTTTTTTAAACAACAGCAAATAACAGAAGTAGAAAAGTTGTATCAAAAAGTACTGCAAAAATACATAATCAGTGCACGCCACGCCCCCTTGAGAGACGCTCCGCTGCTCCTCTCCCAAATTGTAGCCGACCGCAGACAGGAGGCCAGCGTGTTCTGTTTTTATGACCGAAATTGCGGAAAACAACTCGTGAAGTTTGACCCGCTAGAAGAGCGAGGTGCGCGAGAACGCTGGGA